CTCAGAGGTCGCCAGGTCTGCTCAGAGGTCGCCAGGTCTGCTCAGAGGTCGCCAGGTTTGCTCAGAGGTCGCCAGGTCTGCTCAGAGGTCGCCAGGTCTGCTCAGAGGTCGCCAGGTCTGCTCAGAGGTCGCCAGGTCTGCTCAGAGGTCGCCATGTCTGCTCAGAGGTCGCCATGTCTGCTCAGAGGTCGCCATGTCTGCTCAGAGGTTGCCAGGTCTGGTCAGAGGTCGCCAGGTCTGCTCAGAGGTCGCCAGGTCTGCTCAGAGGTTGCCATGTCTGCTCAGAGGTTGCCAGGTCTGGTCAGAGGTCACCATGTCTGGTCAGAGGTCACCAGGTCTGGTCAGAGGTCACCATGTCTGCTCAGAGGTTGCCAGGTCTGCTCAGAGGTCGCCAGGTCTGCTCAGAGGTCGCCAGGTCTGCTCAGAGGTCGCCAGGTCTGGTCAGAGGTTGCTCAGAGGTTGCCAGGTCTGCTCAGAGGTCGCCATGTCTGCTCAGAGGTCGCCATGTCTGCTCAGAGGTCGCCATGTCTGCTCAGAGGTCGCCATGTCTGCTCAGAGGTCGCCATGTCTGCTCAGAGGTCGCCATGTCTGCTCAGAGGTCGCCAGGTCTGCTCAGAGGTCGCCATGTCTGCTCAGAGGTTGCCAGGTCTGCTCAGAGGTCGCCAGGTCTGCTCAAAGGTCGCCATGTCTGCTCAGAGGTCGCCATGTCTTCTCAGAGGTCGCCAGGTCTGGTCAGAGGTCGCCAGGTCTGCTCAGAGGTCGCCAGGTCAGCCTCTGGGTGTCATGGTTTAAGTTTATTTCCTGTTTTATTTTGAAATGTGTTATCCCTGTGTCTTCTTTGGTTGTACTTCCTGTTGTCTGATGCCCCGCCCTCATCTGTCTCACCTGTGTCTCGTTAGTCTGATGCCCCGCCCTCATCTGTCTCACCTGTGTCTCGTTAGTCTGATGCCCCGCCCTCATCTGTCTCACCTGTGTCTCGTTAGTCTGATGCCCCGCCCTCATCTGTCTCACCTGTGTCTCGTTAGTCTGATGCCCCGCCCTCATGTGTCTCACCTGTGTCTCGTTAGTCTGATGCCCCGCCCTCATCTGTCTCACCTGTGTCTCGTTAGTCTGATGCCCCGCCCTCATCTGTCTCACCTGTGTCTCGTTAGTCTGATGCCCCGCCCTCATCTGTCTCACCTGTGTCTCGTTAGTCTGATGCCCCGCCCTCATCTGTCTCACCTGTGTCTCGTTAGTCTGATGCCCCGCCCTCATGTGTCTCACCTGTGTCTCGTTAGTCTGATGCCCCGCCCTCATCTGTCTCACCTGTGTCTCGTTAGTCTGATGCCCCGCCCTCATCTGTCTCACCTGTGTCTCGTTAGTCTGATGCCCCGCCCTCATCTGTCTCACCTGTGTCTCGTTAGTCTGATGCCCCGCCCTCATGTGTCTCACCTGTGTCTCGTTAGTCTGATGCCCCGCCCTCATCTGTCTCACCTGTGTCTCGTTAGTCTGATGCCCCGCCCTCATGTGTCTCACCTGTGTCTCGTTAGTCTGATGCCCCGCCCTCCTGTGTCTCACCTGTGTCTCGTTAGTCTGATGCCCCGCCCTCATCTGTCTCACCTGTGTCTCGTTAGTCTGATGCCCCGCCCTCCTGTGTCTCACCTGTGTTTCGTTAGTCTGATGCCCCGCCCTCATGTGTCTCACCTGTGTCTCGTTAGTCTGATGCCCCGCCCTCATGTGTATCACCTGTGTCTCGTTAGTCTTGTATTTAGCCCTGTGTGTTCCTTCACTCCCTGTTCCGTCATTATCATCCCTCGTCTGTTTTAGTTCTGTCCTCGTTCCCTGTGTTTTGGATTTGTTTTATCTTTTTATTAAATCCATTGTTTTTTGCAGTTTTGCATTTTGGGCCTCATTTGTTTTTCACCCACGTGACACTGGGCCTGAACTCACCAGACTCAGTCACGTAGGTCAGAGTGTCGCTGAACGGCCCCAGCCCCAGAACGTTCTTGGCCTGGACTTTGAAGTAGTACCTGGCAACAGAGAGAGCTATCAGACTGAGGAGAGCTACAGAGAGTTATCAGACTGAGGAGAGCTACAGAGAGCTCACAGACTGAGGAGAGCTACAGAGAGCGCTACCAGACTGAGGAGAGCTACAGAGAGCGCTATAAGACTGAGGAGAGCTACAGAGAGCGCTATCAGACTGAGGAGAGCTACAGAGAGTTATCAGACTGAGGAGAGCTACAGAGAGCTCACAGACTGAGGAGAGCTACAGAGAGCGCTACCAGACTGAGGAGAGCTACAGAGAGCGCTATAAGACTGAGGAGAGCTACAGAGAGCGCTATCAGACTGAGGAGAGCTACAGAGAGCTCACAGACTGAGGAGAGCTACAGAGAGCGCTATCAGACTGAGGAGAGCTACAGAGAGCTCACAGACTGAGGAGAGCTACAGAGAGCGCTACCAGACTGAGGAGAGCTACAGAGAGCGCTATAAGACTGAGGAGAGCTACAGAGAGCTCACAGACTGAGGAGAGCTACAGAGAGCGCTATCAGACTGAGGAGAGCTACAGAGAGCTATCAGACTGAGGAGAGCTACAGAGAGCTATGAGACTGAGGAGAGCTACAGAGAGCTATCAGACTGAGGAGAGCTACAGAGCTATCAGACTGAGGAGAGCTACAGAGAGCTATGAGACTGAGGAGAGCTACAGAGAGAGCTATGAGACTGAGGAGAGCTAGTCCAATAAACACAGGTTCTCGATGAACACCAAAGCACTGTAAGTACCTTCAGGGCGGATGCAGACCCCTCCCCCCTGCCCGTCGGGGTCCGCTGCCCGTCGGGGTCCGCTGCCCGTCGGGGTCCGCTGCCCGTCGGGGTCCGCTTCGCCCTGAAGGTACTTATTTTCCGATAATGACCTGCGTAATATACGTTATCCCGCTTATTATACAGCTTTATACCAACAGAACACACAACATAAACCTCAGTCACTTTTAGGAATGCCCAAAGGTTTATTTAAAATAAGAAAGAAAATAAATAGTTCCCAAAGGCTTTCCCGTGGCTATGCTAGCACCATTAGGCTAACAACTTCCAAACTAGAACTCTCTGGAACTGTATGAAAACTGAACACAGAATCCTGAACATCAGCGGTGAGTGACCCAAACATAAACTTAACCTAAATCCATAATTCCATCCTCTGCAAATGTTCCTAAAATGTGCCGTATCTACTTCCGGGTTTTTCGGGATCGCCTTTTCTCTCATTACATCAGTGTTTTTGTCATGAAAACGTAAACGGAAAATCTGAAAACTTCTGTGCACTTGTGTTAAGACCTGGATATGTATAAATTACTCTCCCATTAACATTTCATTGCGTTGATTGATTGGCCAGTAACTTCCGACATCTTCCGGGTTTTCCACGATCGCTTTTTGACGCAGAGAAATAGTATTTTTGTCATGAAGACAAGACCAAAAAATTCTGAAATCCTCCGTGCACGTGTGTGAAGAATGTTATATGTATAATTATTCTCCGTTTAACATTTTAGTGTGTTGATTTGAGCGTGGCTAGCTCGCGGAGTGGCCGAAACTACTTGCAGCAGATTATCCACGCATCTGAAAGACAAGCAGAGAGTGCGTTGCCAAAGGGGCAAGCTGTCATTATGTTTTGAGAGGCCGTTATAGAAAAGTATCTCTCTCAAAACAACAACAACGTAGGAGGAGGAAAAGAGAGAGATTATTTCTATAACGTACCTCTCAAAACAATAATGACCGCTGCCCCTGTGGCAACGCACTCTTCTGCTTGTCTTTCAGATGCTTGGATAACTCGCAAGTAGTTCCGCCACTCCGGAGCTAGCCACGCTCAATCAACACACATAGAATTTGAATCGGAGAAGTCTTATACATATACATTCTTCACACACTGCACGGGGGCGGGGGGGAGGATTTTCAGAAATTTTGTCTTGTTCTACATGACAAAAATACTATTTCTCTGCGTCAAAAAGCGATGCGTGAAAAACCCGGAAGTAGTTACAGCCAATCAATCAACGCAATGAAATGTTAATGGGAGAGTAATTTATACATATCCAGTCTTAAACACAAGTGCACAGAAGTTTTCATAGATTTTCCGTTTAGTTTTCATGACAAAAACACTGATGTAATGAGAGAAAAGGCGATCCCGAAAAACCCGAAGTAGATACGGCACATTTTAGGAACATTTGCAGAGGATGGAATTATGGATTTAGGTTAAGTTTATGTTTGGGTCACTCACCGCTGATGTTCAGGATTCTGTGTTCAGTTTTCATACAGTTCCAGAGAGTTCTAGTTTGGAAGTTGTTAGCCTAATGGTGCTAGCATAGCCACGGAAAGCCTTTTGGGAACTATTTATTTTCTTTCTTATTTTAAATAAACCTTTGGGCATTCCTAAAAGTGACTGAGGTTTATGTTGTGTGTTCTGTTGGTATAAAGCTGTATAATAAGCGGGATAACGTATATTACGCAGGTCATTATCGGAAAATAAGTACCTTCAGGGCGAAGCGGACCCCGACGGGCAGCGGACCCCGACGGGCAGCGGACCCCGACGGGCAGCGGACCCCGACGGGCAGGGGGGAGGGTCTGCATCCGCCCTGAAGGTACTTACAGTGCTTTGGTGTTCATCGAGAACCTGTGTTTATTGGACTAGCTCTCCTCAGTCTCATAGCTCTCTCTGTAGCTCTCCTCAGTCTCATAGCTCTCTGTAGCTCTCCTCAGTCTGATAGCTCTGTAGCTCTCCTCAGTCTGATAGCTCTCTGTAGCTCTCCTCAGTCTGCATAGCTCTCTGTAGCTCTCCTCAGTCTGATAGCTCTCTGTAGCTCTCCTCAGTCTGATAGCGCTCTCTGTAGCTCTCCTCAGTCTGTGAGCTCTCTGTAGCTCTCCTCAGTCTTATAGCGCTCTCTGTAGCTCTCCTCAGGTCTGGTAGCGCTCTCTGTAAGCTCTCCTCAGTCCTGTGAGCTCTCTGTAGCTCTCCTCAGCTCTGATAGCGCTCTCTGTAGCTCTCCTCAGTCTGTGAGCTCTCTGTAGCTCTCCTCAGTCTGATAGCGCTCTCTGTAGCTCTCCTCAGTCTTATAGCGCTCTCTGTAGCTCTCCTCAGTCTGGTAGCGCTCTCTGTAGCTCTCCTCAGTCTGTGAGCTCTCTGTAGCTCTCCCAGTCTCTGATAACTCTCTGTAGCTCTCCTCAGTCTGATAGCGCTCTCTGTACTCTCCTCAGTCTTATAGCGCACTGTCACGTAGTTGAAAAACAAGGAGACCCAAAAGGAAAAACTGCAAAATGATGGATTTAATAAAAGTAATACAAATCAAGATCAAGCAAAAACACAGGGAACAAGGACAGAACTAAAACAGACGAGGGATGACAATGACGAAACAGGGAGTGAAGGAACACACAGGGCTAAATACAAGACTAACGAGACACAGGTGATACACATGAGGGCGGGGCATCAGACTAACGAGACACAGGTGATACACATGAGGGCGGGGCATCAGACTAACGAGACACAGGTGATACACATGAGGGCGGGGCATCAGACTAACGAGACACAGGTGATACACATGAGGGCGGGGCATCAGACTAACGAGACACAGGTGATACACATGAGGGCGGGGCATCAGACTAACGAGACACAGGTGATACACATGAGGGCGGGGCATCAGACTAACGAGACACAGGTGATACACATGAGGGCGGGGCATCAGACTAACGAGACACAGGTGATACACATGAGGGCGGGGCATCAGACTAACGAGACACAGGTGATACACATGAGGGCGGGGCATCAGACTAACGAGACACAGGTGATACACATGAGGGCGGGGCATCAGACTAACGAGACACAGGTGATACACATGAGGGCGGGGCATCAGACTAACGAGACACAGGTGATACACATGAGGGCGGGGCATCAGACTAACGAGACACTAGGTGAGACACATGATAGACAACGAGACACAGGTGAGACACATGAGGGCGGGGCATCAGACTAACGAGACACAGGTGATCAGACTAACGAGACACAGGTGAGACACATCAGACTAACGAGACACAGGTGTGACACATGAGGGCGGGGCATCAGACTAACGAGACACAGGTGAGACACATGAGGGCGGGGCATCAGACTAACGAGACACAGGTGAGACACATGAGGGCGGGGCATCAGACTAACGGACACAGGTGAGAGACACATGAGGGCGGGGCATCAGACTAACGAGACACAGGGAGACACATGAGGGCGGGGCTGGGGCAGGGCAGGTAATCAAACAGGAAGTACAACCAAAGAAGACACAGGGATTTAACACAAACTACAAAATAAAACAGGAAAAAAACTTAAAAACCATGACACCCAGAGGCTGACCAGGCGACCTCTGAGCAGACCTGGCGACCTCTGACCAGACCTGGCGACCTCTGAGAAGACATGGCGACCTCTGAGCAGACATGGCGACCTTTGAGCAGACCTGGCGACCTCTGAGCAGACCTGGCAACCTCTGAGCAGACATGGCGACCTCTGAGCAGACCTGGCGACCTCTGAGCAGACATGGCGACCTCTGAGCAGACATGGCGACCTCTGAGCAGACATGGCGACCTCTGAGCAGACATGGCGGACCTCTGAGCAGACATGGCGACCTCTGAGCAGACATGGCGACCTCTGAGCAGACCTGGCAACCTCTGAGCAACCTCTGACCAGACCTGGCGACCTCTGAGCAGACCTGGCGACCTCTGAGCAGACCTGGCGACCTCTGAGCAAGACCTGGCAACCTCTGAGCAGACATGGTGACCTCTGACCAGACCTGGTGACCTCTGACCAGACATGGTGACCTCTGACCAGACCTGGCAACCTCTGAGCAGACATGGCAACCTCTGAGCAGACCTGGCGACCTCTGAGCAGACCTGGCGACCTCTGACCAGACCCCTGGCAACCTCTGAGCAGACATGGCGACCTCTGAGCAGACATGTCGACCTCTGAGCAGACATGGCGACCCCTCTGAGCCGACCTGGCGACCTCTGAGCAGACCTGGCGACCTCTGAGCAGACCTGGCGACCTCTGAAGCAGACCTGGCGACCTCTGAGCAAACCTGGCGACCTCTGAGCAGACCTGGCGACCTCTGAGCAGACCTGGCGACCTCTGAGCAGACCTGGCGACCTCTGAGCAGACTTGGCGACCTCATGAGCAGACATGGCCTGGGACCTCTGAGCAGACCTGGCGACCTCTGAGCAGACCTGGCAATCTCTGACCAGACCTGGCGACCTCTGAGCAGACCTGGCGACCTCTGAGCAGACCTGGCGACCTCTGAGCAGACCTGGCGACCTCTGAGCAAACCTGGCGACCTCTGAGCAGACATGGTGACCCTTTTCTGACCAGACCTGGCGACCTCTGAGCAGACATGGCGACCTCTGAGCAGACATGGCGACCGTCTGAGCAGACCTGGGCGACCTCTGACCAGACCTGGCGACCTCTGAGCAGACATGGCGACCTCTGAGCAGACATGGCGACCTCTGAGCAGACCTGGCGACCTCTGAGCAACCTCTGACCAGACCTGGCGACCTCTGAGCAGACCTGGCAACCTCTGAGGGATCAGACCAGGCGACCTCTGAGCAGACCTGCGTGACCTCTGAGCAGACCTGGCGACCTCTGAGCAGACCTGGCGACCTCTGAGCAGACCTGGCGACCTCTGAGCATGACCTGGCGACCTCTGAGCAGACCTGGCGACCTCTGAGCAGACCTGGCGACCTCTGAGCAGACCTGGCGCCCTCTGAGCAGACTGGCGACCTCTGAGCAGACCTGGCGACCTCTGAACAGACATGGCGACCTCTGAGCAGACCGTGGCGACCTCTGAGCAGACCTGGCGACCTCTGAGCAGACCTGGCAACCTCTGACCAGACCTGGCGACCTCTGAGCAGACATGGCGACCTCTGAGCAGACATGGCGACCTCTGAGCAGACATGGCAACCTCTGAGCAGACATGGCGACCTCTGAGCAGACCTGGCGACCTCTGAGCAGACCTGGCGACCCTCTGAGCAGACCTGGCAACCTCTGAGCAGACCTGGCAACCTCTGAGCAGACATGGCGACTTCTGAGCAGACCTGGCGACCTCTGAGCAACCTCTGACCAGACCTGGCGACCTATGAGCAGACCTGGCGACTCGACCTCTGAGCAGACCTGGCGACCTCTGAGCAACCTTCTGACCAGACCTGGCGACCTCTGAGCAGACCTGGCGACTCGACCTCTGAGCAGACCAGGCCAACCTCTGAGCAGACATGGCGACCTCTGAGCAGACCATGGCAACCTCTGAGCAGACCTGGCGACCTCTGAGACAGACATGGCGACCTCTGAGCAGACCTGGCGACCTCCCTGACCAGACCTGGCGACCTCTGAGCAGAACATGGCAACCTCTGAGCAGACCTGGCGACCTCTGAGCAGACCTGGCGACCTCTGAGCAGACCTGGCGACCTCTGAGCGACATGACACCTGGCGTCATGGCGACCTCTGAGCAGACCTGGCGACCTCTGAGCAGACCTGGCGACCTCTGAGCAGACCTGGCGACCCTCTGAGCAGACCTGGCGACCTCTGAGCAGACCTGGCGACCTCTGAGCAGACCTGGCGACCTCTGAGCAGACCTGGCGACCTCTGAGCAGACATGGCGACCTCTGAGCAGACCTGGCGACCTCTGAGCAGACCTGGCGACCTCTGAGCAGACATGGTGACCTCTGAGCAGACCTGTTAGTGTAGTTTATAAAGTCTTTCAAATCAGTTGTTTCGCTTTTGTTTTCAGACGACCCTTTTCTGATCGAACGTCCTCCGAGGTGGAGTCCCAACTAACCCTAAATAACTCTAAATACTGACTAAGTCTACTGACCAACTAATATTTTATTATTAATTATTTTATTTATCTATATTAATTAAAAATCTTTTATATTTAAATTTATATAAATTATTTAATTTATTTTATTTACTATTTTATGCTTTTATTTGTTTACTTTATTTTATATTTATTATTTTGTGAACTTATATTTTTACCATACTATTTTTTATATAAATAATTGATATTTATAATATTATTATTAATTAATTTAATTTTATATAATATTATTTATTTATATTTTAATTTTTATATATTTTTAATTTTTTTATATTTCATTTAATTTTAATATTTTTTTTTTATTTTAATTTTTATTTATTTTATTATATTATATATTTTTTTATTTTTAATTATTTAAATTTATAATTTTTTTATTTATATATTTATATTATTCTTTATTAATTATTATATTTTTTTAATTTTTTATACATTATTTTATTAATTTTATTTTTCATCTATCTTATTTAATATTTTTATATAATTTTAATTTTATATTTTTTTATTTTTCTATTTATTTTATTATTATTTTTTTATAAATAATTCTTTAAATTTTTTTTATAATTTATATATATTATTAATATAACTTTATTAATTTAATTTTTTTACATATTTAATTTATTATATTTTTTTTATTTTAATTAATATATTTTAATTATTTTTTTTTTTATCTATTATTTATATTATTTAATTATTAATTTTTTAATTATATTATATTAACTTTATTTTTTATTATATTTTTTTTTTTTTCTTAATTTTAATCTTTTATTTTTATAATTTTTTTTTATTTTAAAAATTTTTATTTTATTAATTAATATTTATATTTTTTATTGTATAATTATATCATTATTTAATATATATTATTATTTTATTTTAATATCTTTTTTTTAATTTTAATTTAATTTTTATATTATTATTTTATTATTTTTTCTTTAAATTATTTATTGTTTCTTATTTAATTAATAATTTTATTTTTATTATATATTATTTTAAATTATTTGTTTTTTAATATTTTATAATTTAATTAATATTAAATATTTATTATCTTTACATTATTAATATTTTTTTTTATATATTTTTTTTATTTCAATTATTTTATTTATATTAATATATTATTAGTATATTTTTATTAATATTCTATATAATTATTAATTTAATATTTACTATTTTTTATATAATTCATTTAAATTTTTATTTTTTTTATTTTTTTTATTTTATTTTTATTTATTATTTAAATTTATTTTACTATTTGATATTTTTTTTATATTTTTTATTTTTATGAATTTATTTATTTATTTATTATTTATAATTATATTATTTATATTATTAATATTTTATTTTAATAATTTAATAAATTATTATTTATTATCTATTTATTATTTAAATTTTTATTTATATCATTTATTAATTTTTATTATATTAAATATATTTAATATTTTTTTTAATTAAATTTTTTTATATTTTTTATTCTTTATATTAATTTTTTTATATAATAATTTACTATATTATAATTAAATTTAACATAAAATTCATAATTTTATAATTATAATATTTTAAATATATTTTTTTTTTTTTATTTTATATTAATATTTATAATATTTTTATTATATATAAACTTTATATACCTTATATTTTATATATTGTTATTTTTTTTATTTTTTATTTAAATTAAATTTTTAATAATTTTATTTATATCATTATATTTTTTTTAATTATATTTAATATTATTAAGATTAATAACATTTCTTTTATTTAATATATTAAATTTTTTTTTATTATTACATTTAATTTTATTCTATTAATTGTTATATATGATTTATATCATATATGTATATTATTACTTTATATATTTTAGTATTATAATTTTTTAATAATATTTTGAATTATAGAAATTTCTTAAATTATTATAACTATATTAATTATTATTTAATTATTTATATTAACATTAATTTTTTATATTAATTATTTTAAATTATTTGTTTATTAATATATATATTATTATTTTTTTTAAATATTTTAATTTTATATTTTAATCTTTTAAATTATAATATTATATTTATTTCCAATAATTATATCTATGTTATTTATTATTATTTTTAGATTAAATCTTCTCTATTAATAAATTTATATATTTTTTTATATAACTATTTAAAAATTTAATATTTTTTTATTTAAATATATTAATATTTTACTATTCTTTATTTTCTTATATATATTTTAATTTTATTAATTATTATATTTTAATTTTAAAATTATTTCGATAAAATATTAATTCTTATAATTATTATTAAAAAATATTTTTTTATCTTTTATTATTATTATTTATTAAAATTAATATTTTATTTTATAATTTTTTTATTACATTTTTAAATTATATTTATTTTTTTTATTTAATTTTTATTTTTTTTTATATATAATAATTTATTAATTATTTATATCTTTTTCATTATTATTTTTATTATTTAATATCATATTTACATTTATTTTTATATTATCTATTTAATAAATTTTTTATATTATTTTTTATTTCTAATAATTAATTTAGTATATTTTATTTAATTATTTAAAAATTATTTTATTTTTATATTTTATTATAATTATTATTTTAATTCTATTTATATAATTAAATTTATAATATTTATATTAATAATTTAATTTTTATTCTTTTATTATTATTTTTATTATATTTTTTTTTATTATTTTAAAATATAATTCTTTATTTTAAATTATTTTAATAATTTTTTTTTTTTTTTTATTTAATTTTTTAATTATTAATATATTTTTTTATAATTATTTTAATTTTAATTATTATTTTTTTAATATTTTTATAATTTTTTATACATCTATCTTATTAACTTATTATTTTATTATATATATATAATAAATATTTTTATGTTATATTATATTTTTTAAAATTTAAATAAATATAATTATATTTTATATATTTATTTTTTATATATTTATTTATAAATATATATTTTATATTTTTTTAATTATTATATATATATTATTTTTAATAATTTTTATTTAAAATTTATTTTTATTTTTACTTTATTTTTATTATAATAGATCTATAATGATATTTTTAAATTTATTATAAAATTTATATTTTTTTTTTATATATCTATTAATTTATAATTTTTATTTTTTATTTTATTTAATTATTAAAATTTTATATGTATTTTATTTTTTTAATAAAATAATTATATTTTTTTTTTATTATTTTAAATTTTTATACTTTATTTATTTTTTAATTAAATTATATTTAATTTATTTAAAATTAAAAAATATTTAATTTAAATATTAATTTTATTAAAATTTTATTTTTTATATATCTTAATTTATATTTTTATTTTTTTTATTTATTTTTTTATATTATAATTATAATATTTTTACTTTTAATTTTATATTTAATTATATTTATTATTTTATATATATAATTTTTTTTATTTTACATATATATTTTTATTAATTTTATAATTTTTATATCTTATATTTTAAATTATATTCCTTATTTTTTATTTAAATTTATTACTATATTTATTTTAATTTATTTATATTTTTAATTTTATTATTAATTTAATATTAAATATCTTATTTAATATTTAATTTTTTTATTTTAAATTATTAAATTATATTTAATTAATTTTAATTTAATTTTATTTTTATTATAATTAAATTTATATCTATAATTATATTTTATCTTTAAATTTAATTTATAATAACATTTTATATTTATTATTATATAATTATTATATTATATTTCATTTTTTTTTATTTATTTTATTTTTTTAATATATTATTTTTTTTACATTATATATAATATAATATCTATTTATATTTTTTTTTTTATAATTTTTTTTTTTATTATTAATTTTTTTTTTTATTATTTATATTTTTTTAAAATCTAATTTTTTATATTTAATTTTTTTTTATACTATTTTTTTAATATAATATATTATATATATACAATTTAAATTTTATTATTTTATATATTTTTTATTATATATTAATTTTCTTTTATATCAATATATTATTATTTATAATTTAAATTTTTTTTAAATCTTTTCTATTTTAATAATATTTTAATATTTTTATTTTAAATAATTATTTTATTTTATTTTTATTTTATATTATTTATATATTTATTTAAATTATATTAATATATATATAATATATTAAATAATTTTTTAAAATACTTATTCTCTCTATTTTAATTTAATATATTTTTAATTTAATTTTTTTATAAAAATTTTATTATAATATAATTTAATTTTTATTAATTTACTTTTATTTTATTTAATTTATTTTATTTATTATTTATAAAATTAATTTTATTTTAAATATTTTAATTTTATAAATTTATCTATTATCATATTTATTTTATACTTAATATATATAATTCATATTATTTAATTTTATTAATTTATTTTATTTATTATTTTATTTATTATTTTTTATTTTTATAGTTTTATATTTTTTAATTTTTATTATTTATTTTTAATTAATATAATTTTTTTTTTTATATATTTTATTTATATATTTATTATTATTATATTAATTATTATTATTTTAAATATTTTATTTTTTGTTAATTTTTTTTTATATTTTTTATTTATTTTATATTTTAATTTATATTAATATTTTATTTATTTTTTTATCTTTTTATCAATTTATTATTAATTTTAAATTTTATATTAAAAATATATTTCATTTTATATTAATATATTTACTTTTACTAAAATATATATATATTTCCCAATTCTTATAACAAATATTAATATACAAATTAAATATATACTTATTATCCATTTTATTTCTATTATTTTAATTTTATTATAAT